CATCTTCAGTGCTTCCCTTATGTGAGTAAGAATATTCTATCATGTACCACCGTATTGCGCACTTAGCGAGCACGTTCGCACAACACGCTCTTCCAGATCACTCAAGGACCAAACAGAGGCATAAACTCTGGACCTGAATTAAATTTCCGTGACATAACGTGTCATGCAAACTGAGAAAAGGAACTATTGTGGTGACCATGTTAGATTCAGTGGGTAAACCAAACCATTGTATATCGACCGTCTCACCCCATAAAAGGCGCTGGTTTTGCAAACTTCCTTGTTATCGGTGAAGAGACCTTCCTCTGTGCTGTTTTATCAGACGGGGCTTAGAAAAAGAATCGGAGAGTCTCCACTTTTAACGGAGATATTTGGGTTCTAACTTGAAACAAAATGACTTGCTTGAATTTTCGCACCATCCTTCCTTTCCTCTCCAGAAATCAGCATCTTCCTTCACCTGGTTCAGAAATATGCTTGGAAAAGAATCACTGACAGCACCATCCACCGGGTGGTCAAAAAGGTCAAGATGGTGATGATTGAAGCCCTACCCCCTTTTTATGAGTGTTGCACACTTACACGCCACACCTAAAAGCAGGGCAAAGCTTTGACTGCACAGTCAGGGCCACCATCTTGACTTTTTTGACCTGACTACACCTGATCCCCTCCGAAGGTGCTGGAAAAGGCTCTTCTAAAAGCAGCTGGCCCTGATTCATCCTACCAACAAGGCTTTCGATGTCCTTTCTCACCCACAGGCAATCCGGAATGGGCCTGGGAGGAACCATGGCTCGGGTGGGTAGCATGACCGCCCCGTTGGTGAGAATGAGCGGAGAATTCTTCCCACCGCTGCCCCTGATCATCTACGGAGCAGCCCCCATCATTTCTGGCATCGTCACCTGCTTTCTCCCGGAGACCCGGAACGTCCCGTTGCCGGAGACGATCGAACAAGTCGAAAGACGGTGAGTCCTGACCTGTCTCCCTGGTCGTGGGGAGGCTCCGCTGAGATGCAAGAAAGGGTTGGGGCTCCCTAGATAGGAGGGGGTGCCTTTGGGGAGAGGCAAAATGGGCAGTGGTTACATCAGGGATGGGGGCCAGGCTGGGGGGTTTCTTTTCTTTGCCAAGATTTTTTGGGGAGGGTCCTTGAGAGTTTCTCCTTGCTTTTCAAACCAAAGAAAGGGCACGTAATGACTTACAACAGAGTTTTCAGCTCTACCCTGTCGCAAAACGTCAAGGCCACCATCACGCTGTTGGCTTTTGGAGAGGGGCCCTTGAGCAGCAAAATGGGGCTGTGTGAACACTTGGGAGAATTGGTGAACCATCCTTGCCCTAGAGCTCCTCCCTCCCTTCCTTCCTCACCCTGTTTCCCTTCCCCTTCCCCTTCCCCTTCCCCTTCCCCTTCCCCTTCCCCTTCCCCT